GGAGGAGGAGGAGGAGGAGGAGGAGGGGAAGGGAGGAGGAGGAGGAGGAGGAGGAGGAGGAGGAGGAGAGGAGGAGGCTGGTGGGCCCTCGTGCGGCCCGCCACCTGCGGGGCCGGCGCCTGCGTGGCGTAGGACGCAGGCTGCAGCACGCCCCCTGCTGCGGCTTCTGCGGCCACCAGCGGTGGCAGGGGCGGTAGCATGAAGTCGGGTATGTCCCTCTGCAGGAGGAATTTTCGCAAATAGTAAAAAATTCTCTTGGGACGACTTTTCGATTATCTTTGATTTTTTCCGACTGCTTTTGATTTTTGTCCAGAACCCGCCTGTAGGAGGACATGCCCGACCGAACGGTAGCAATGGGCCAGCTCGCGCCCGACGCGCCCGTGCTGCCCCCGCAGGCATAGAATCGGCGGGCGGAACTGAAAATGCGTCCCTTGCCGACGCTCGCGACCTGAAGCCAGCCTCGCGGTCGATCTTCTGAAACGCGGACCGTTCATGCGTGGGTGCATCAGGAGGGCCTGGGAGATGTAGTTGAGTTTCCGCCGCAGCGTGTCTGAATCAGCCTGATAATATTGCCTTTTCGCCTGGGGTGGTTGGGAAAATGGGGCTGCTCCGCGTTTGGCAAAGCGGTCCGCGAAGTCGTTGCCCTTGGCCAGGACCCACTCCCTCGAGAGGATCTCGAGGTCGTCAGGAGCAGCGTGGGCGGCAAATCTCGTGAATACAGAGCAATCCGAAGTCCACGTGGGCGCACTCCGGGTCTGAAGTCGCATTCTTCGCGCAGACGTGGTGCCGAGAAGTCACCTGGGACCGCGGGGCCCTCCCCAGATCTAGACGTACGACGCCCAGGAAGTCCGACTGCACCCTCGTGGCGCTGGGGGCGGGTCTGAAGTCGCATGCCCGCGCAGACGTGGTGCCGAGAAGTCACCTGGGACCGCGGGGCTCTCCCCAGATCTGGACGTGCGACGCCCAGGAAGTCCGACTGCACCCTCGTGGCGCCGCTGGGGGCACTGCTCTGCCCCTGCCAGGAGCTGCCGCGCGTGCCTCTGGCCGCGGGCGACGTCTGCGGGCACTGGTCGCCCATCCGGCCCCACAGGAGCCGCAAGTGGCTCGCCCGTTGCCCCCATGAGGATCCTCCTCCTCCTCCTCCTGCTGCTCCTCCTCCTCCTCCTCCTCCTCCTCCTCCCCCTCCTCCTCCTCCTCCTCCTCCTCCTCCTCCTCCTCCTCCCCCTCTTCCAGAACTGGACGGAATGGCCGCCTCGGCGACGTCACGAGAGTGCCCACCCCGCAGCGTGGAACTCTGTCGGGAACTGGGACGTATGCACTGCCAGTGGCAGGCTGTTTCTCACTCCCATGACTCTTTGAGGGTTCGGGGACGACCGTCGGGGCGGTGTGGCGTACACTCGTGGTTCCGTTTTTCCCAGGAACCAGCGAAGCATGTATACAGCAGGGTCCCGTATGCACCTGGATCCGCTTTCCTTTGCGAATTTCGGTGCAGGGCCGGAACAAGCGTCGGAGTATAGAGATCGGTTCCCTACTCTGGCGGCCCGTCCTTGAGGCATGAGCCATCCGTGAACAATTCCCCCTCCAACGCACCAGCAGGCGCCAGGTCTGGGGCTGCGCGCCAGTAGTGGTAGGGGCGCGTGCCCGAGCCAGGAGTTGGGTTCACTGGGTTCCCTGTGTGCTCTTGGTATTCGCAGACCAAGAGAAAGTTTTGGTGGAGCATCGAACAACATGACCCCATCCTCGGGCTTCATCCACTGCTTGCGCAACGCGTCTGGCAGCGGTTTATTCGGTGGGACAAGCGGTGGACAAGCTTCTTGCCCGTCCATGCTTCTTGGCACTGCAGGCCTCCTTTTAGGAGCGCCCGCTTCGCCACTGTCATGGCGACCCGTGAGCGCTGGTATAAGCCCAGCTTCGCTGCCACTGTGGTGAGATGGACCTTTCGTCACGCCTCCCGCATCTTCAGTTTAATGAACTTGGGGAGGAAGCCGTGAGTGGCCAATGTCTGCTTGTCTCATCCTTGCGGACGAGGGGCCCGTGGAACGACAATTTGATGCGCTCCAGAAAAGCTGCAACGAGCGGGCCTGCCGCGCAGCCCCAGTGTTTCGGCGGGCCCGTGAGGATCGGCTCGGTAAGCTGCACCAGCATGGGGATTGTCAGGTTGCTGGACGGGGCCCGCACCCCGTTCGCGCGGCACACCATCTTGGCCCACGTCAGCGCGGGCGTGAGGTCCTGCCTCCAGGAGGAGGAGAGACGAGGAAAAGGAGGAGGAGGAGAAGGAGAATGAGGAGGAAGGACGAGGAAGAGGAGGAGTAGGAGGGACGAGGACAAGGTTGATGATGATGCTGCTGCTGATGATGATGATGCTCATGTTGATGATCATGATGCTACTGATGATGATGACGCTGCTGATGATTATGCTGCTGATGATGATGATGCTGACGATACTGTTGATACTGATGATGACGACGATGACGATGACGATGACGACGATGCTGATCATGATGATGACGACAATGGTGGTGGTGTTGATGATGATGCTGATGGTCATGAGGATGGTCCTGGTGATGATGATGAAGGTAGTGATGATAAGGATGGTGGTGGAGATGATGACGCTGATGATGATGACGATGACGATGACGATTGCGATGACGATGACGATGACGATGACGATGATGATGATGCTGATGATGATGATGATGATACTGATGATGACGATGATGCTGATGACGGGATTGATGATTTTGATGATGCTGATAAGGATGGTCCTGGTGATGATGATGGCGGTGGTGATGACAATGATGGTGGTGTAGATGATGACGATGATGACGACGGCGATGGCGATAACGATGACGATGATGACGATGATGATGATGATGATGATGATGATGATGATGATGATGATGATGATGATGATGATGAGAATGATGATGATGAGGATACGGCTTAGGATGAGGATGAGGATGAGGATGAGGATGCTGATGGTCGTGTTGGTGGTGTTGGTGGTGGTGATGATGGTGGTGGTGGTGGTGATGACGGTTGTGGTGGTGATGATATTTACGACGGTAATGTTGAAAATGACAATGATGATGGTGGAGGTATGATGACGATGCTGACGATGACGATGCTGCTGCTGCTGATGTGACGACGATGATGGTGGTGGTGGTGATGATGATGGTGGTGGTGGTGATGATGATGATGGTGGTGGTCGTGGTTGTGGTGATGATGGTGGTGGTGATGATGGTGGTGATGACGACGCTGAAGATGTTGTTGGTGGTGGTGGTGATGATCATGACGATGATGGTGGTGGTGGTGGTGATAGTGTTGATGATGATGACGATGATGATGATGATGATGATGATGATGATGATGATGATACTACTAGTGATCATTATGGTGGTGATAGTGGTGGTGATGATGATGCTACTGACGTTGATTATAATGATGCTGATGCTGATGATGATGATGATGATGATGATGATGATGATGATGATGATGTTCAGGAGGATGACGACGACGACGACCACGGTGATAGTGATAATGAAATCGATGATTATGATGACGCTGCTGAATATGATGAGGATGATGTGATGATGCTGCTGCTGATTCTGATGATGATGCTAATGACGGTGGTGATGATGACGGCGATTATGGTGATGGTGATGACGGTGGTGGTGCTGCTGGTGATGGTGATGATGATGGTGATGATGCTGATGCTGCTGCTGCTGGTGATGCTGATGCTGATGCTGATGCTGATGCTGATGATGATGATGATGATGATGATGATGATGATGATGATGCTGATGCTGATGCTGATGATGATGATGATGATGATGCTGATGATGATGATATGATGATGATGATGATGATGATGATGCTGATGCTGATGCTGATGCTGATGCTGCTGCTGATGATGATGATGATGATGATGACGGGACGAGGAGGAATAGCAAGCCGATAATGATGATGATGATGATGATGATGATGCTGATGATGATGATGATGATGATGATGATGATGATGGTGATGATGGTGATGATGATGATGATGATGAGGATGAGGATGAGGATGAGGATGAGGATGAGGATGATGATGATGATGATGATGATGATGATGATGATGATGATGATGATGATGGTGGTGGTGGTGGTGGTGGTGGTGGTGTGGTGGTGGTGGTGGTGGTGGTGGTGGTGGTGGTGGTGGTGGTGGTGGATGATGATGATGATGATGATGAGATGAGATGATGATGATGATGATGATGAAGATGAAGATGATGATGATGATGATGATGCTGATGATGATGATGATGATGATGATGATGATGATGATGATGGTGATGATGGTGATGATGTGATGATGATGGTGATGATGATGATGATGATGATGATGATGATGATGATGATGATGATGATGATGATGATGATGATGATGATGATGATGCTGATGATGATGATGATGATGATGATGATGATGATGATGATGATGATGATGATGATGATGATGATGATGATGATGATGATGATGATGGTGATGGTGATGGTGATGGTGATG